TACAACAGACGCCGCCAAAGCTCCGAACTGTGGTCGCCGTGACCTCAATAGGCGGCTACGCGGTGGAGGACCGTGACGCAAAAAGAGCTGTATTTGAAAACCTACGATAGGAATCGCACACAGTGCAAACGGCCATTTGGAATCCGACGCGGACACGCTTGCGGAGCTTGGTTCTGTGAGTGCACGCGTACAACAGACGCCGCCAAAGCTCCGAACTGTGGTCGCCGTGACCTCAATAGGCGGCTACGCGGTGGAGGACCGTGACGCAAAAAGAGCTGTATTTGAAAACCTACTACGATAGGAATCGCACACAGTGCAAACGGCCATTTGGAATCCGACGCGGACACGCTTGCGGAGCTTGATTCCGTGTGTGCACGCGTACAACAGACGCCGCCAAAGATCCGAACTGTGGTCGCCGTGACCTCAATAGGCGGCTACGCGGTGGAGGACCGTGACGCAAAAAGAGCTGTATTTGAAAACCTACGATAGGAATCGCACACAGTGCAAACGGCCATTTGGAATCCGACGCGGACACGCTTGCGGAGCTTGATTCTGTGAGTGCACGCGTACAACAGACGCCGCCAAAGATCCGAACTGTGGTCGCCGTGACCTCAATAGGCGGCTACGCGGTGGAGGACCGTGACGCAAAAAGAGCTGTATTTGAAAACCTACGATAGGAATCGCACACAGTGCAAACGGCCATTTGGAATCCGACGCGGACACGCTTGCGGAGCTTGATTCTGTGAGTGCACGCGTACAACAGACGCCGCCAAAGATCCGAACTGTGGTCGCCGTGACCTCAATAGGCGGCTACGCGGTGGAGGACCGTGACGCAAAAAGAGCTGTATTTGAAAACCTACGATAGGAATCGCACACAGTGCAAACGGCCATTTGGAATCCGACGCGGACACGCTTGCGGAGCTTGATTCTGTGAGTGCACGCGTACAACAGACGCCGCCAAAGCTCCGAACTGTGGTCGCCGTGACCTCAATAGGCGGCTACGCGGTGGAGGACCGTGACGCAAAAAGAGCTGTATTTGAAAACCTACGATAGGAATCGCACACAGTGCAAACGGCCATTTGGAATCCGACGCGGACACGCTTGCGGAGCTTGGTTCTGTGAGTGCACGCGTACAACAGACGCCGCCAAAGCTCCGAACTGTGGTCGCCGTGACCTCAATAGGCGGCTACGCGGTGGAGGACCGTGACGCAAAAAGAGCTGTATTTGAAAACCTACGATAGGAATCGCACACAGTGCAAACGGCCATTTGGAATCCGACGCGGACACGCTTGCGGAGCTTGATTCTGTGAGTGCACGCGTACAACAGACGCCGCCAAAGCTCCGAACTGTGGTCGCCGTGACCTCAATAGGCGGCTACGCGGTGGAGGACCGTGACGCAAAAAGAGCTGTATTTGAAAACCTACGATAGGAATCGCACACAGTGCAAACGGCCATTTGGAATCCGACGCGGACACGCTTGCGGAGCTTGATTCTGTGGGTGCACGCGTACAACAGACGCCGCCAAAGATCCGAACTGTGGTCGCCGTGACCTCAATAGGCGGCTACGCGGTGGAGGACCGTGACGCAAAAAGAGCTGTATTTGAAAACCTACGATAGGAATCGCACACAGTGCAAACGGCCATTTGGAATCCGACGCGGACACGCTTGCGGAGCTTGATTCTGTGGGTGCACGCGTACAACAGACGCCGCCAAAGCTCCGAACTGTGGTCGCCGTGACCTCAATAGGCGGCTACGCGGTGGAGGACCGTGACGCAAAAAGAGCTGTATTTGAAAACCTACGATAGGAATCGCACACAGTGCAAACGGCCATTTGGAATCCGACGCGGACACGCTTGCGGAGCTTGATTCTGTGAGTGCACGCGTACAACAGACGCCGCCAAAGCTCCGAACTGTGGTCGCCGTGACCTCAATAGGCGGCTACGCGGTGGAGGACCGTGACGCAAAAAGAGCTGTATTTGAAAACCTACGATAGGAATCGCACACAGTGCAAACGGCCATTTGGAATCCGACGCGGACACGCTTGCGGAGCTTGATTCTGTGAGTGCACGCGTACAACAGACGCCGCCAAAGATCCGAACTGTGGTCGCCGTGACCTCAATAGGTGGCTACGCGGTGGAGGACCGTGACGCAAAAAGAGCTGTATTTGAAAACCTACGATAGGAATCGCACACAGTGCAAACGGCCATTTGGAATCCGACGCGGACACGCTTGCGGAGCTTGATTCTGTGAGTGCACGCGTACAACAGACGCCGCCAAAGCTCCGAACTGTGGTCGCCGTGACCTCAATAGGCGGCTACGCGGTGGAGGACCGTGACGCAAAAAGAGCTGTATTTGAAAACCTACGATAGGAATCGCACACAGTGCAAACGGCCATTTGGAATCCGACGCGGACACGCTTGCGGAGCTTGATTCTGTGGGTGCACGCGTACAACAGACGCCGCCAAAGCTCCGAACTGTGGTCGCGGTGACCTCAATAGGCGGCTACGCGGTGGAGGACCGTGACGCAAAAAGAGCTGTATTTGAAAACCTACGATAGGAATCGCACACAGTGCAAACGGCCATTTGGAATCCGACGCGGACACGCTTGCGGAGCTTGATTCTGTCAGTGCACGCGTACAACAGACGCCGCCAAAGCTCCGAACTGTGGTCGCCGTGACCTCAATAGGCGGCTACGCGGTGGAGGACCGTGACGCAAAAAGAGCTGTATTGAAAACCTACGATAGGAATCGCACACAGTGCAAACGGCCATTTGGAATCCGACGCGGACACGCTTGCGGAGCTTGATTCTGTGAGTGCACGCGTACAACAGACGCCGCCAAAGATCCGAACTGTGGTCGCCGTGACCTCAATAGGCGGCTACGCGGTGGAGGACCGTGACGCAAAAAGAGCTGTATTTGAAAACCTACGATAGGAATCGCACACAGTGCAAACGGCCATTTGGAATCCGACGCGGACACGCTTGCGGAGCTTGATTCTGTGAGTGCACGCGTACAACAGACGCCGCCAAAGCTCCGAACTGTGGTCGCCGTGACCTCAATAGGCGGCTACGCGGTGGAGGACCGTGACGCAAAAAGAGCTGTATTTGAAAACCTACGATAGGAATCGCACACAGTGCAAACGGCCATTTGGAATCCGACGCGGACACGCTTGCGGAGCTTGATTCTGTGAGTGCACGCGTACAACAGACGCCGCCAAAGCTCCGAACTGTGGTCGCCGTGACCTCAATAGGCGGCTACGCGGTGGAGGACCGTGACGCAAAAAGAGCTGTATTTGAAAACCTACGATAGGAATCGCACACAGTGCAAACGGCCATTTGGAATCCGACGCGGACACGCTTGCGGAGCTTGATTCTGTCAGTGCACGCGTACAACAGACGCCGCCAAAGCTCCGAACTGTGGTCGCGGTGACCTCAATAGGCGGCTACGCGGTGGAGGACCGTGACGCAAAAAGAGCTGTATTTGAAAACCTACGATAGGAATCGCACACAGTGCAAACGGCCATTTGGAATCCGACGCGGACACGCTTGCGGAGCTTGATTCTGTGAGTGCACGCGTACAACAGACGCCGCCAAAGCTCCGAACTGTGGTCGCCGTGACCTCAATAGGCGGCTACGCGGTGGAGGACCGTGACGCAAAAAGAGCTGTATTTGAAAACCTACGATAGGAATCGCACACAGTGCAAACGGCCATTTGGAATCCGACGCGGACACGCTTGCGGAGCTTGATTCCGTGTGTGCACGCGTACAACAGACGCCTCCAAAGCTCCGAACTGTGGTCGCCGTGACCTCAATAGGCGGCTACGCGGTGGAGGACCGTGACGCAAAAAGAGCTGTATTTGAAAACCTACGATAGGAATCGCACACAGTGCAAACGGCCATTTGGAATCCGACGCGGACACGCTTGCGGAGCTTGATTCTGTCAGTGCACGCGTACAATAGACGCCGCCAAAGCTCCGAACTGTGGTCGCCGTGACCTCAATAGGCGGCTACGCGGTGGAGGACCGTGACGCAAAAAGAGCTGTATTTGAAAACCTACGATAGGAATCGCACACAGTGCAAACGGCCATTTGGAATCCGACGCGGACACGCTTGCGGAGCTTGATTCTGTCAGTGCACGCGTACAACAGACGCCTCCAAAGCTCCGAACTGTGGTCGCCGTGACCTCAATAGGCGGCTACGCGGTGGAGGACCGTGACGCAAAAAGAGCTGTATTTGAAAACCTACGATAGGAATCGCACACAGTGCAAACGGCCATTTGGAATCCGACGCGGACACGCTTGCGGAGCTTGATTCTGTGAGTGCACGCGTACAACAGACGCCGCCAAAGCTCCGAACTGTGGTCACCGTGACCTCAATAGGCGGCTACGCGGTGGAGGACCGTGACGCAAAAAGAGCTGTATTTGAAAACCTACGATAGGAATCGCACACAGTGCAAACGGCCATTTGGAATCCGACGCGGACACGCTTGCGGAGCTTGATTCTGTGAGTGCACGCGTACAACAGACGCCGCCAAAGCTCCGAACTGTGGTCGCCGTGACCTCAATAGGCGGCTACGCGGTGGAGGACCGAGACGCAAAAAGAGCTGTATTTGAAAACCTACGATAGGAATCGCACACAGTGCAAACGGCCATTTGGAATCCGACGCGGACACGCTTGCGGAGCTTGCTTCTGTGAGTGCACGCGTATAACAGACGCCGCCAAAGCTCCGAACTGTGGTCGCCGTGACCTCAATAGGCGGCTACGCGGTGGAGGACCGTGACGCAAAAAGAGCTGTATTTGAAAACCTACGATAGGAATCGCACACAGTGCAAACGGCCATTTGGAATCCGACGCGGACACGCTTGCGGAGCTTGATTCTGTCAGTGCACGCGTACAACAGACGCCGCCAAAGCTCCGAACTGTGGTCGCCGTGACCTCAATAGGCGGCTACGCGGTGGAGGACCGTGACGCAAAAAGAGCTGTATTTGAAAACCTACGATAGGAATCGCACACAGTGCAAACGGCCATTTGGAATCCGACGCGGACACGCTTGCGGAGCTTGATTCTTAGGGTGCACGCGTACAACAGACGCCGCCAAAGCTCCGAACTGTGGTCGCCGTGACCTCAATAGGCGGCTACGCGGTGGAGGACCGTGACGCAAAAAGAGCTGTATTTGAAAACCTACGATAGGAATCGCACACAGTGCAAACGGCCATTTGGAATCCGACGCGGACACGCTTGCGGAGCTTGATTCTGTCAGTGCACGCGTACAACAGACGCCGCCAAAGCTCCGAACTGTGGTCGCCGTGACCTCAATAGGCGGCTACGCGGTGGAGGACCGTGACGCAAAAAGAGCTGTATTTGAAAACCTACGATAGGAATCGCACACAGTGCAAACGGCCATTTGGAATCCGACGCGGACACGCTTGCGGAGCTTGATTCTGTCAGTGCACGCGTACAACAGACGCCGCCAAAGCTCCGAACTGTGGTCGCCGTGACCTCAATAGGCGGCTACGCGGTGGAGGACCGTGACGCAAAAAGAGCTGTATTTGAAAACCTACGATAGGAATCGCACACAGTGCAAACGGCCATTTGGAATCCGACGCGGACACGCTTGCGGAGCTTGATTCTGTCAGTGCACGCGTACAATAGACGCCGCCAAAGCTCCGAACTGTGGTCGCCGTGACCTCAATAGGCGGCTACGCGGTGGAGGACCGTGACGCAAAAAGAGCTGTATTTGAAAACCTACGATAGGAATCGCACACAGTGCAAACGGCCATTTGGAATCCGACGCGGACACGCTTGCGGAGCTTGATTCTGTCAGTGCACGCGTACAACAGACGCCGCCAAAGCTCCGAACTGTGGTCGCCGTGACCTCAATAGGCGGCTACGCGGTGGAGGACCGTGACGCAAAAAGAGCTGTATTTGAAAACCTACGATAGGAATCGCACACAGTGCAAACGGCCATTTGGAATCCGACGCGGACACGCTTGCGGAGCTTGATTCTGTGGGTGCACGCGTACAACAGACGCCGCCAAAGCTCCGAACTGTGGTCGCCGTGACCTCAATAGGCGGCTACGCGGTGGAGGACCGTGACGCAAAAAGAGCTGTATTTGAAAACCTACGATAGGAATCGCACACAGTGCAAACGGCCATTTGGAATCCGACGCGGACACGCTTGCGGAGCTTGATTCTGTGGGTGCACGCGTACAACAGACGCCGCCAAAGCTCCGAACTGTGGTCGCCGTGACCTCAATAGGCGGCTACGCGGTGGAGGACCGTGACGCACAAAGAGCTGTATTTGAAAACCTACGATAGGAATCGCACACAGTGCAAACGGCCATTTGGAATCCGACGCGGACACGCTTGCGGAGCTTGATTCTGTGGGTGCACGCGTACAACAGACGCCGCCAAAGCTCCGAACTGTGGTCGCCGTGACCTCAATAGGCGGCTACGCGGTGGAGGACCGTGACGCACAAAGAGCTGTATTTGAAAACCTACGATAGGAATCGCACACAGTGCAAACGGCCATTTGGAATCCGACGCGGACACGCTTGCGGAGCTTGATTCTGTGGGTGCACGCGTACAACAGACGCCGCCAAAGCTCCGAACTGTGGTCGCCGTGACCTCAATAGGCGGCTACGCGGTGGAGGACCGTGACGCAAAAAGAGCTGTATTTGAAAACCTACGATAGGAATCGCACACAGTGCAAACGGCCATTTGGAATCCGACGCGGACACGCTTGCGGAGCTTGATTCTGTGAGTGCACGCGTACAACAGACGCCGCCAAAGCTCCGAACTGTGGTCGCCGTGACCTCAATAGGCGGCTACGCGGTGGAGGACCGTGACGCACAAAGAGCTGTATTTGAAAACCTACGATAGGAATCGCACACAGTGCAAACGGCCATTTGGAATCCGACGCGGACACGCTTGCGGAGCTTGATTCTGTGGGTGCACGCGTACAACAGACGCCGCCAAAGCTCCGAACTGTGGTCGCCGTGACCTCAATAGGCGGCTACGCGGTGGAGGACCGTGACGCAAAAAGAGCTGTATTTGAAAACCTACGATAGGAATCGCACACAGTGCAAACGGCCATTTGGAATCCGACGCGGACACGCTTGCGGAGCTTGATTCTGTGAGTGCACGCGTACAACAGACGCCGCCAAAGCTCCGAACTGTGGTCGCCGTGACCTCAATAGGCGGCTACGCGGTGGAGGACCGTGACGCAAAAAGAGCTGTATTTGAAAACCTACGATAGGAATCGCACACAGTGCAAACGGCCATTTGGAATCCGACGCGGACACGCTTGCGGAGCTTGATTCTGTGGGTGCACGCGTACAACAGACGCCGCCAAAGCTCCGAACTGTGGTCGCCGTGACCTCAATAGGCGGCTACGCGGTGGAGGACCGTGACGCAAAAAGAGCTGTATTTGAAAACCTACGATAGGAATCGCACACAGTGCAAACGGCCATTTGGAATCCGACGCGGACACGCTTGCGGAGCTTGATTCTGTGAGTGCACGCGTACAACAGACGCCGCCAAAGCTCCGAACTGTGGTCGCCGTGACCTCAATAGGCGGCTACGCGGTGGAGGACCGTGACGCAAAAAGAGCTGTATTTGAAAACCTACGATAGGAATCGCACACAGTGCAAACGGCCATTTGGAATCCGACGCGGACACGCTTGCGGAGCTTGATTCTGTGGGTGCACGCGTACAACAGACGCCGCCAAAGCTCCGAACTGTGGTCGCCGTGACCTCAATAGGCGGCTACGCGGTGGAGGACCGTGACGCAAAAAGAGCTGTATTTGAAAACCTACGATAGGAATCGCACACAGTGCAAACGGCCATTTGGAATCCGACGCGGACACGCTTGCGGAGCTTGATTCTGTGGGTGCACGCGTACAACAGACGCCGCCAAAGCTCCGAACTGTGGTCGCCGTGACCTCAATAGGCGGCTACGCGGTGGAGGACCGAGACGCAAAAGAGCTGTATTTGAAAACCTACGATAGGAATCGCACACAGTGCAAACGGCCATTTGGAATCCGACGCGGACACGCTTGCGGAGCTTGATTCTGTGGGTGCACGCGTACAACAGACGCCGCCAAAGCTCCGAACTGTGGTCGCCGTGACCTCAATAGGCGGCTACGCGATGGAGGACCGAGACGCAAAAAGAGCTGTATTTGAAAACCTACGATAGGAATCGCACACAGTGCAAACGGCCATTTGGAATCCGACGCGGACACGCTTGCGGAGCTTGATTCTGTGACTGCACGCGTACAACAGACGCCGCCAAAGCTCCGAACTGTGGTCACCGTGACCTCAATAGGCGGCTACGCGGTGGAGGACCGTGACGCAAAAAGAGCTGTATTTGAAAACCTACTACGATAGGAATCGCACACAGTGCAAACGGCCATTTGGAATCCGACGCGGACACGCTTGCGGAGCTTGATTCTGTGGGTGCACGCGTACAACAGACGCCGCCAAAGCTCCGAACTGTGGTCGCCGTGACCTCAATAGGCGGCTACGCGATGGAGGACCGAGACGCAAAAAGAGCTGTATTTGAAAACCTACGATAGGAATCGCACACAGTGCAAACGGCCATTTGGAATCCGACGCGGACACGCTTGCGGAGCTTGATTCTGTGACTGCACGCGTACAACAGACGCCGCCAAAGCTCCGAACTGTGGTCACCGTGACCTCAATAGGCGGCTACGCGGTGGAGGACCGTGACGCAAAAAGAGCTGTATTTGAAAACCTACGATAGGAATCGCACACAGTGCAAACGGCCATTTGGAATCCGACGCGGACACGCTTGCGGAGCTTGATTCTGTGGGTGCACGCGTACAACAGACGCCGCCAAAGCTCCGAACTGTGGTCGCCGTGACCTCAATAGGCGGCTACGCGATGGAGGACCGAGACGCAAAAAGAGCTGTATTTGAAAACCTACGATAGGAATCGCACACAGTGCAAACGGCCATTTGGAATCCGACGCGGACACGCTTGCGGAGCTTGATTCTGTGACTGCACGCGTACAACAGACGCCGCCAAAGCTCCGAACTGTGGTCACCGTGACCTCAATAGGCGGCTACGCGGTGGAGGACCGTGACGCAAAAAGAGCTGTATTTGAAAACCTACTACGATAGGAATCGCACACAGTGCAAACGGCCATTTGGAATCCGACGCGGACACGCTTGCGGAGCTTGATTCTGTGGGTGCACGCGTACAACAGACGCCGCCAAAGCTCCGAACTGTGGTCGCCGTGACCTCAATAGGCGGCTACGCGATGGAGGACCGAGACGCAAAAAGAGCTGTATTTGAAAACCTACGATAGGAATCGCACACAGTGCAAACGGCCATTTGGAATCCGACGCGGACACGCTTGCGGAGCTTGATTCTGTGACTGCACGCGTACAACAGACGCCGCCAAAGCTCCGAACTGTGGTCACCGTGACCTCAATAGGCGGCTACGCGGTGGAGGACCGTGACGCAAAAAGAGCTGTATTTGAAAACCTACTACGATAGGAATCGCACACAGTGCAAACGGCCATTTGGAATCCGACGCGGACACGCTTGCGGAGCTTGATTCTGTGGGTGCACGCGTACAACAGACGCCGCCAAAGCTCCGAACTGTGGTCGCCGTGACCTCAATAGGCGGCTACGCGATGGAGGACCGAGACGCAAAAAGAGCTGTATTTGAAAACCTACGATAGGAATCGCACACAGTGCAAACGGCCATTTGGAATCCGACGCGGACACGCTTGCGGAGCTTGATTCTGTGACTGCACGCGTACAACAGACGCCGCCAAAGCTCCGAACTGTGGTCACCGTGACCTCAATAGGCGGCTACGCGGTGGAGGACCGTGACGCAAAAAGAGCTGTATTTGAAAACCTACTACGATAGGAATCGCACACAGTGCAAACGGCCATTTGGAATCCGACGCGGACACGCTTGCGGAGCTTGATTCTGTGAGTGCACGCGTACAACAGACGCCGCCAAAGCTCCGAACTGTGGTCGCCGTGACCTCAATAGGCGGCTACGCGGTGGAGGACCGTGACGCAAAAAGACC